TTCCTTGAAAAATCTGTTTTACAAGCAAAATGTTGACACAGTTTTAATTATAGCACTCGAGTGAGCACTGTTGTAATTTTTAATACTCCTCCATGGTAACATTGTCACTGTTCTGATAGAGGAAACACACAGATCTGGCATTCTTAGTTTCCAGGGTTTTATGGGAATGCTGCCTTTTTTTAACTTGAAATTTTTCATTTTTTGTCTAAAGACAAGAATATGACTGCAAGGTTCAGGGTATTTACTTATTACTATAAGCATTCCTGGGACAGTCATCATTAACTATGTCGCCATGTGGACCTTACCTGCCTCACATTAAGGAGGTGGCTTCTGTGTAAGACAGTGCAGCAAATCTAGGTGCCTGCTCACTTGGGGTCGCAGAGACTTTCCACAGTTTTAGCCTTAAGCAACTACACTGATATTAAAATGGTGTCACACTGAGGGTTTGTGTTTTCCACAGATAAGGGCATGTTAAAATGGTTTATAAAATAATGTGCTTTAATGTACCAACAATCACTGAGCTCTCTTTTGTGGTCACAGTATCAAGAGAGAGTGTATGCTTGATAGTCTGTCTGTACATCACATTTCACTGTTAAAATGTACTGTTCTGGTTTCCCACTACTGCCTAGGTACTTGGGGAGGCAGAGGCAGGTGGATTTCTGTGAGTTCAAGGCCAGCCTCGTCTACAAAATCAAGTCCAGGATAGCCAAGGCTACACAGAGAAACCCTGTTTCACCCCCCACACACACCTGAAAAAAAACAAACAAACAGACATACCCAGCTTTTGGGGAAGTTCATGAACGTCCAGTTGATTGGTTTTCATATTCTTCTTTACCGCTATCTGAGGTGACACAAGAATGGTTTGTGATACCTTTCAGGTTCCAAGGAGAGCCAGGGGCTCTAGCCTCTCTGAATGAGAAGGGCATAGTCACAGGAGCCTTCACAGCATGGCCTCTGAAAAGGAAATCTCAGCCTGCATCCTGAGCTCAGGCTGCATGCAGGCGTAGGCCAGGGCAGAATAAAGGCACCACCGGCCACTTCTGGGATAAGAATTCCTTTCTCAATGAGAAGAGTATGTGTGGATCAAGACCGAATAGCTCTCACTTGGAAATATTATAATGTGATTTTATCTTTTTTTTAGTGTTAAGATTTGATCAAAAACTCAAGGGATGATGCAGGCTGGAGAGGATGTGGAGAAAGGGGACATTAGTGTTCAGCACCAAGCATGCAAGTAGCAGAGCAACAGTTTTATACATTCAAGATGAGTACACCACATGCTTCAATGTGGATTTCTGAGAGCTTAGAGAGGCCTTATAGGAAAGCCATAAAGATGACATAATAAAATAGCAATGGAAGCCTGTGGTAGATGGCTAAGTTAATAAACATGTAAGGAAATAAAAGGACCAATAATGCTTAAGAAAACTACAAGAAACAGACTATGAGCTGCTGTCCAGGTAGCAATTACTCACAGCACCCTGGACCAAGCACTGTTCTCAGCTAAGATCTGAGGCTGAAACTGAGTAGCTGAGGTTGGACTAAGCTCCTCTCCCAGTGGTTTAGGAAGGGACAGTTCCCCGTGGGAGTTGTTTGAACTGAGGTAGGCAGACTGCGCACAGGAGAATCCCATTATTCCTGGATATGCTGATGCACAATACCAGAAGGTTATAGCAAAAGCTTGCCGACACATCAGTTTTTCTAAACCCTCTTTGCAGTGAGTTTCCAAACTGAAACTGTAGTTTCTTTTATATATGTTGGTTTTCTCAACATAAAGATAGGAGATACAACTGTGGTGATAGATGATAGATAGATAGATAGATAGATAGATAGATAGATAGATAGATAGATAGATAGAT